TGTAGGAAAAGGTTCAGAGCTGGGACGCCATGTGGCCAAATGACGAAAGTGTCATCCACATATCTCTTCCACAGGGAACTGAAGCTTGTGTTGCCTCCGAAACGTCGTGATTTAATTTAGTTGTTTTCTTTGATTTTATTTTACCTACGTGACTTTACCTAAAAAAAAACAAAGAGTAGGCTCCACCACTCAGTGACTAGGCCCCACCACTCAGTGATTACGCCCGACCACTTAGTGTTTAGGCTCCACCATTCAGTGGAGCCGAACCACTAAGTGGGGCATGGTCAGTGGGGGTGAGCGGGATCAGTAGGCGGGGTCAATGGGGGTGGGTGGGGTCAGTGGGGGGTAGGGGTGGAGTGTCTTCATTTCCCCTCATCTCTTGAAGAGCAGCGAAAGAGCCATGGACGAACTTGACGGATTTGATTACTTCTTTGTTTCTCTTAAACTTTTATTGAAAATATCCCAACACTTCGCGGTCAAACTTCATGATATGATTTCCAAATGGCTCAGATGTATGTTTGACCGTGCCCCCTTGATAAAATTATTTTCAGGGCATGCACATTTGATACCGTTAACAACAAAAAATAACAACGCATTCGTAGACAACTTTGTAATCTTAAGCTGCAATTAACCGATTGAGTCTGTTCTGTAACCGAGACCACCCTTAGGTGCACGGATTACTGAACATTACTCTTTCTCTGCTTCCTGCTGGGATCTTACACTCCCGCTTGCCTCCACGTGGGGGCCGGACAGGCGGAGGGTGGGACATACCCACATTGCACCCCACCGAAACCCACTCTCACGACGCACACCGCTCCAGTGGGCGCGTGGCACCGGAGTCTCTCCGCCGCCTTGTTGATGTCTCCGCCGTCGTGGGATTGGGGGGATTGAACCGGGCTCCTCTGACCTGTGGCCTCAGTTTTGCCAATGCCACCGGACTGAGACAGCAAAAAAAAGCACCGCCGGGTTCCCAGTGGAGTGTTTTTTTGTTGTTGCGGTTAGCCAATCGCTCTGGTCGGTTAAATGACGCGGTGCGCGAAGTCAAAGGGGACGGGTTAGCCTGCGGAGAGAGGAGTTCATCATCACCATCATCACAACAGGAGAATGAGTGCCGGCTGGGAACGCACACACACCCTCGCACAGATTTAACAATGCACAAAAGGCGTGCTGCTCACACAGCGGAAAGTTGATGGTTATAAATAGACAAATATCTCCCGTTTAGCCTGAGCAAACTGTTGGGGCAAGTGCTGGTAGCGAGCACCGATGAAGGCCGGCATGGCACACGAGGGGGTGGGTGGCCAACACCACGCCCGGACGTCTTTGTCTCCCCAAGTGGCGATGTTTACGCACCGCACCAGGTACTCACTTGAGGCTCAGTGTACCTAGGGGAGGCCCAGAGCCGGTTCAGATAATCGTCACTGGTTATGGTGGCTGTGGGCGGGAATCGAACTAGGGTCGCCGGATTCGTAGGGCGACGCGCTAATCACTACGCCACCACTCCCCACACACAGCAGGAAGTTGGTGGTTATAAAGAACCAGTCCTGCCACACACATTCAGCTCCTGAGCTGGTGGTTCGGACAAGGCTGTGAACTTTGCACACACAATGAGGGCGACCACGTGATAATGCACGCAGGGTACGATGGGAGTCGTGCCTTCCTGCTGTTTTGTGAGCACACCTTGGCACGTTGTTAAAACGTATCCTTCCGAGGTCCTGTCCATGTGAATGTGGAATTGGCACCACTGGCGCAGGGGGGCACCAGGCGGTGGATCGTTCGAGACACTTTGACGCAGGATTACAAATCATTGCATTGTGGGCATGTGCACGTGAAATCATTGCTTCGAAAATTAGGGATTACAAAAATACGTCATTTGAATGATAATAACCTTCCTCAAATCAAGAATAACAAAGTCTACACGTAGTAATGGTGATGAGCATGCGAACTGAGAAACCAAAGTCATGCGAATTCCATCACATTTCGCATTCACCCGTCGACAAACCACAGGCGTCACTCCACATCTCAAATTAGACTCCGATTTCCCGTACGTCCCATTTAAGTGGCGATAATGATGCCTTCTGCTCTCACAATACGGTTTGCAACTTATTTTTTTTATAATTCGGCAGACATCCCCTGCCCTCCCTAACACCCACCCACCATGAAAACCCATCGTTTTCTAAGGAAACGAAGCCTAAATTTAGCGAACATGCGTCACATCATGCACGGTTGGCATGAACAGGGTACAGCCAGCGGGTTCAAGATTACGCAAATCACGCCGCTCGCACGAGAGACGCGCACACACGCACACACAACAACAACCGCCATTCGCCACTAAGTGGCGGTGACGTCACCACGACGCTTGTGCCAGGCTAGGTGCACGTTGAGGCCACGTGAAGTGTCGAACGCCCGCTGGCAGGAGCTCACGGGGCAAACTCAGGTGCCACGGGTCGACTGAGATGACTGGCCGATGCACCACCTGTGCCTCCTACAGTGACAACTTGCAGTGCTTTATCCACCCGGCGCTCGTTGTTATAAGCGTTGCTCCACACATGCACGCGCACACACACACACAGGTTCCTTCCTTTGGCCTGCCGCGACTCTTGGTGATTGGGGGCACTGTTAACGAGCACCAGAGCACCGGAGCGGCGCGCGTGAGCGAGCGGCAAATGCGCCCCGCGTTGTGTCTTCCCAACGCGGGCGTCCGCTTGAGAGAGAGAGAATGCTTCACCGCACGCATGCTTAAGGCTGACCGGACCAACGGGAGGCTCGCAGTGTTTGCAAACCGTGGCCAGGATTTGGAACCCCCCCCCGCCCGCCTGCCCGCCCTCCCAAAGCGGCGGCTCGCTGGGCTTGTGGCGCAGAGCATCGCACCGGCCGTCACAGCACTGCAACTCGCGTAAACCACGACCAATATCAACACCCGCCACTCGCCACAAAGTGACGGTGAGGTCACCATGGCGCCTGTGCCAGGCCAGGTGCACTTTGAGGCCACGTAGGTTCGCTGACTGGAAGGTCTCGGGACGGACCCAGCAGGTGCCATGGGTTAGCTGAGATGACTGGAGGATAACCAGCTGTACCCCACGAATGTACCAACTTGCCATATTTTATCCGCCCGGCGCTCCGCTCGTTGTTGTGAGCGTCGCTCCTCTGCCCTCCAGTAGCGTCCTTCATGAGCCGTCTCCACAGAGGCCGATCTTGACACCGCTGGTACAGTAATCGGCAAGTCCACTCAGCTTCACATCATCTTGTACCACATCACTTCATCTCTTCTCTCACCTGTGTTGCGCCTGCTTAGGCCCCGCTATCTGGCCGAACATAATCTGTTTAGGCATGCGCTGGCTGGGCATGTGGGCTCCGTGCCTCAAGCAACGCAGCCTTGCCTGCTAGAGGAACTACCGATGGAACTTTGTCCAGATCTTTCAAGGATTTCTGAGCTCCTCACACAATCCAGCCTTGCAAATTCCAGGATAGAGCGTATGCAGGCCAGCCTAAACAAAGACAAATATCCCCCGTATAGCCTAACAGACTGTAGGGTCAAATGCCGTTAGCAAGCACCTATGAAGGCCGGAACGGTACACGAGGGGGTGGGTGGCCAGCGCCACGCCCGGCCGCCTTTGTCTCTCCAGTGCCGATGTTTACACACTGCACCGGGTACTCATTTGAGGCTGAGTCGACCTAGGGGAGGCCCAGGACCGGTTCAGATAATCGTCACTGGTGTTGGCTGTGAGCGGGAATCGAACCCGGGTCGCTGGGATCATAGCGCAGCACGCTAACCGCTTCACTACCACTCCCCTAAAAACATGCACACGGGCCCACACGTTTCGTTGTCGCGCAGACAAAACATCGCTCGGTTCTGAGTAGAGTATCTTGAGAAAAGTATCTTGAGTAGAGCATCTTGAGTAGAGTATATTGAGTAGAGCATCTTTCGTAGAGTATATTGAGTAGTCAATCTTGAGTAAAGTATATTGAGTAGTCAATCTTGAGTAGAACATCTTGAGTAGACAATCTTGCGTAGAGTACCTTGAGTAGAGTAGCTTGAGTAGTACATCTTGAATAGTGCATCTTGAGTAGTGCATCTTGAGTAGAGCATCTTGAGTAGAGTAATCCGCCTCAGGGACCCTGTACTCGTTCTCTGCAATGTTGACGGTTTTGTTGTTGCCATTGTTGTTGTCGTCTGTGCTCACGCAGCACCACGGATCTCTTTCCGCGTAAAAAATTCTGGGCAGCTGGCGATACGGGATCGTCATCCGTGTAACAAATCAAAAATAAGTGCACATCTCAACCATTACCGTATTCTCTGGAGTGAAAGTATCACTTTCGCTCCCCCGTATTTCAACGCAAAATTTCGGGGACTGCGTCTCACTCTCCAGAGCGTCTCACACTCCGGAGAATGCGGTAGGTGTGTTTCCCTTGGGGCTGTCAGGACGACGGCCTCCAACCACCCTTCCCTCTTGCCTCCACGCTGAGCAAAATCCAAGCGGGCAAATAAAAAGAAAAGTGAGTAGGCATTGCAGAAAAAATTGCGGAGTAGCCATGACTTTGGGTTCACGCAGCAGTCTCACCGTAGTTATTTGTCACCCACGTTCACTGGTTGGTGGTCATTCACAGGCTATCTTTCTACGTGGGGCCGCGTAGACACGGCGCGTAGATAATACGGAGTTCTCGCCTCCGCACGTCGATTCGCTTCGCTTCATGTATTTGGGGAGGTTCTTCTGAAACTCATTCAAGCTCTCTGACGGAACGCTGCAGCAACTTGTGGTAGCCCCAGCACGTGGAGCGAAACGTCGGACATAAACCATGAACTATTTTAATTTTACCAGGTAAAGGCCCACTGAATCATGTAGCTCTTTTTCAGAAACGGCCTGGCTATCACAAATGATGGCGCAACAAAGTGGCTCGTCATCACGTGGACATTCATGGCAGTAGCCAAACACTCTAAACACGTGATGTTGATTCTAAATGTGGAGGGAAAAAACAGAGGACCCGGATAAAAATCCACGCGATCACGGGGAGAGGGACATGCAAACTCCAAATATACAGCAGGCGTTAGGGTCGAGATTGAACCCACAAGCTTCTGTATACCAGGCGAGGTAGTTAACATCTCCTAGCCACCGTGACGCCACATCAAAAGTGACTTTTTGTAACGTCATCCACCTCTCAAGATGCTTCCAACAAGCACGCGAATCGGTAGGGGCCACTGGGCCGCGGTGGCCCCAGGAGCATGCGCGGTTATCCCTACGCGTCATCACGAACTGTTCATCACTTCGCTTACGATCGTAGATTTCTCAACATCTCGGAAAATGGTCCGTGACCAACGAGGCTCCCAACCGTTCTCACCCCGAGCACCACCGTCGACCGTCAGTGTAATTAAGAGTTTCACATGTGGTAGGCTTTTGCGACCAATGTTCTCCATTAAAGGTTTTTTTCGGGTTACATCACGTAAATATAAATGTGTCGTTAAACCCGCCACCACCCAACGCGGACAATGAGTCAGATTGTGTCACGTTAACAAAACGCGCCAATTCGTGACTAGTTCAGTACACCGGTACGATGGGGAGTGAAACCAACAGCATCTACAATTCGAGCAATTACAACCAGCTTCATCAGGTGACATCCAGGAATCGGCAAAGTGTCTCAGGGTGCAGTGCGTGGTGTTTAGCAGGAAAGAACCCCAGCCGTGACAGCTCCACGCTATTAATTCCCACACGGTGACGAGCCACTTCGCTGCGCTATCGTTTGTTACAGCCAGGTCGCTTGTGAAAAAAGAGCAACATCACTCTGGCGGGGCCTTACTTCGTCGGATAAAAAGTAGTTTGGTAGTTCATAGTTTTAGCGCGCTTCTCACGGCCCCGCCGAGGACCCCCCCCCCGGTGTCCATGGGCGAATTGGCACGTGACGGTTATGGCTCGTGCCGCACAGGGACAGCTGTCATTGGTGGGGGGGGGGGGGGGGGGTCCCCGAGGCTAAAACACATTACGAGCATCATCAAGATGCTCATAATGTTACGGGTGCAATATAAATGCACGTTGACGGTGTAATTTAATCACCATTAGTCAATTTCCTATGTCAGAAAGTCGATCGGCTCTTCAATCAAAAATACCGAAGGCTATAGATTTTGCACGGCATGGCAGCTGATGTGACTTGTATATCTGTCTCCGAGAAAATCCAAGTAAATCGATGGCAGTAAAAGTATTGGAGGCATGATGATTCTCACCTTTCCATTGTCAAGCTCTGTAAAAAAATGAAGTGGTTAACAAAACAGTGGGCAGTTATGCACGCGGGGACCTCCCGATGCGCTTGCAATGAGCTCACGGCGTGCACGCTGCCGCGCACTCAACACCGGCGAGTCACGAGGTTAGCGACTAAACGTCGCGCCCGTGGGTTCTACAGAAACCCGAGCCGACTCCGATCGGTTTGCTGTGCCACCAAAATCACGGCGTCTGAGAGAAATCGCGACTCAAATAATCGCCAGCAACCACTTTGTCCACGAGTGAGCCTGTCGCTTGACCGAGGAAGCGACGCTGCACACACTCTCATGCTCGTGACGACCGCATCGCTGCAAACTGCCGAGCTGTTTGCGAACCTGGGCCACGGCCATCGACTCGCCGCACCGAAAACCTCCCCCCCCCCCACCCCCCGGTGCAACCACGGCAGTGGCTGAGACTTGGATTGGAAGCCAGGCTCTGAGCGGTGCCGGCTCAGTGCTCTAACTTCCGAGCGACCCGGCCACCACCTCACTCACTTCCTCTCGACGGCAAGGAAGGCTTCGTGAATGGCTTCCTGGCGGGGTTGGCGTTAGTCCTCAAATGGAGGCAATGCTCGGGAAAAACTGGTGGTACCACGGCTCGGGAAAGCCAAACGACGACAACGACATATAACACGATCCACCCACAAGTTTCCGGTCACAAGTCAACTTGGCCAATCATCCCTCTACGTCTGGGAAAATGGGTAACTCTTTGTAGAAAGTCAATGGTGGTTGTCCTGTGGATAGACCGGCCCCCGTTAGAGAAATGTGGAATTTCCACTACTGGCTCGGGGGCTGGCAAGTGAAATAGGTTCCACTCGGCGCTCATTGTAGGTGGGAGACGCACGCATCGGATAAACGAACGGAAACACAAAGCAAACACGAGCATCGTGCCGCGTGGCGATGCCACCGTCTCTCGTGAGCACCTGAGAGCTCGGGGCCCTGGGAAACGAAGCCAACGGCTCCTCCACCCCACGCGGGCCCTGGGAGCAGCAGCAGCAGTCTCCACCCACCACATCGTGCATCCACGGTTCGTGATTCATCACCTCCACAATCCCCATCCCTTCCGCTTCCTCCAACATAATCACCCCGCAACCACCCCTACCCTTCGTCACCACCGCCTCTCTTCCATCTCCTCCCATTCATCTGCCCTACACCTCCGCCTCCTCCAGCGCCCCCGCCGCCAACCCCCCTGGTTGCGGGGGCGGCAGGGGGGGCGGTTTTGGGGAGGGGTGCCGCCCCTCGTCCGTCTCGTCCACCGTGTCGAGCGAGCCCTGCTCCTCACGGCCGCACGACAGCGAAGAGGAGGAGGAGGAGTTGCGGGCGAGAGCCGGGCGGGCGCACGGAGCTCGCCATGGCAGCTCCCACGTGCACGGCGCCATTCCCTCCTCCAGCGCTGATGGCTGCGGTGGGGCCACGCCGGGGGCCACAGCAGCTACGGCGGCGGTCGTCCCAGGCACGCCGTGGGGCCGCTCGGACGTCCGAGACTTCTGCTGGTGCTGCTGCTGGTGAAGTTGATGATGATGATGAGGCTGAGGCCCGAACGGCGAGTCCAGGTCATCTGGAGAGGAGGTGACGGACCGCCGAGGGTACTGGGTGCCATCGAGGGGTGCATATGACAGGGCAGAGGGGAAGAGGAAGGCCGAGGCGGCCGCAGCTGCGGCAGCTCTGGGGGCGCCGCCGTCACGGTGCCCGACGGCCTCGACAGCCACGTTGCCGATGCCGGCCGAGTGGCCCGAGTCGCCCGTCCCGCCCGTGTCGCCCGTGCGGGGCGGCGAGGCCTCCGCGTCGGTGTCAGCGTGCAGCGGCGAGAGCAGGCCGTCTGATGTGGAGCACGGCGTCGCCAGCGACCTGGGGTATCACCGCAGCCATTGAGCACTCTCAGGATTTTGGGACGACCGCGAAGGGGTGGGGGGCCACGGGGGAGGTGAGAGGAAGGCATTGTGGACACACGCGCAGGGCGATGAGATGGGCAAAATACAATTAACCTTTTGACGTGTCCCAGACGTCTGCAAGTTGCAGGGTTGGCATCTCTTTCGCCGCTCACACAATCGCGGAACGCACGAGCGGCTCGGTGTTTTATTTAGAGAGGCATAGGAGCACCGTTGATTTTAAAGACATTGTACATACCGCAGAGAACCGTAGAGACACGACCGCGGACGGCAAACAGTGCCACATGCCCTCCCGCACGGCTTTTACTTCCGTTCGGAATCGATTCACGAAGACGTACATAATCGAAATGGGAAAGGGTTACTAAATAAGGACAGGGCCGGGAGTTTCGTGGAATGGGCAGGACACATAATGAGAACAGCCGACGAGGAGACGATGGAGGCAAATTAAGTACGGGCGGTCGTGTGAGGTGGTGGCGGCAGCTTGGGAAGGCCCTCATCCAGTAGTGCACCGATCACGATTCATAACGATGACAACGATCGTTAACGGCGACGAGTTGGCACCCCCGCCATGAAATCCCAACGCATTTCACCATCGCTTCCTCCTCCTGCCCTGCCCCGTCACTGTCGACAGCTTGGCTCGCGACTCACGACTCCTCACGACGACGCTGTCGAGGCACGCACCTGGAGACGCTGAGGCGGCCCCGCGGCGTTGACGGCGGCGCCGAGGCCAGCGACGCGCCGTCCACGGGGCTGCCGTGCGAGTCCGGTGTGGCGGCCGAGCAGCCGCCCCCCTGGCCCAGCGACTGGCGGTAGAAGTCGATGAGGAAGTCGAGCTTCTTCTCGATGGACTGCACCTGCACGGGGCCGGCAAATGAGCGACGCCAGCAACGCCGGCGCCTCCGGCGCGCGGGCAGGGCCCAGCAGCGTGGGCCACCTGCTGCTTGCTGCTGCCGCTGCTCCTGCTGCAATGCCTAAAACCCGTGCTTGCACAATCCCCTTGCGGCCCCTCCTCCTCGTTTACTTTAGCGAGCTGCGGCATGTACAAAACTCTTGGGCACATGACAGGCACTGCAAGATCCGACCACGTGCCGAGCCTCTGATTAGCATGGTTAGCTACGTATGGTGTGAAAGAAGTTCAACGTACTTCTATGCACACGTACGTGTCTGTCCAGTGCTCGCTGAGCAGCATTAGCTTCCAGTTGCCGAAGGAATACGCCATGAGGTGGCGCTCATCACACACACATACAAAGTTCTTGCCACAAATGAACCCACAATACATCGCTGATGTCGTCAAGGAGCGTAAACCATCATCATGCAAACTCTGCTCATCCTCGCAGCAGCGGCTTTTGGTTGGCCATCGAACAAAGACGGTCACCACATCACACGCTTTCAGACGCGCTTCTGCGGCCGTCTGGAACGCTCTTCCTCCCGATATTAGGAAGCCACTGGAGCAATGCACTTTTAAATAATCTAGACTTAAAACACATTTTTTTAGAACTGCTTTTGTGTTTAGTTTGTTGTCCTTCCCCCGCACCTCCGATGAGCACGGTTTGCTATGTACGGTGCGAAAGAAGTTCATCATACATACATTAAAGCCTCACCACCTCATCGCCATCGCCCATTCACTTCTCCTTCCCCTCGCCTCTCCACTCCATCCCGACCCCCACACGCCCTCTGTAACGGTCACACATTCCTCGGCTCCTTGCCATCTAAATCACTCCACGTTCGTGTCACCGCTTTTAAACTACGTTATAGAGCACCTTGAGCCAATGTGGCTACGCACGGTGGGAAATAAGTTCGGAAATACGTACAAACATCCTCATGGACTAAGGGGCAGCAGCAGATTTACAGCGGCTTCAACTGTCCGGACTGAGACGCCGTCGCGCATACATTGATGGCGTTGCGCTGAAATAACATCGCACGTAAAACACTATCTTACCGTCCCTTGATTTACACGATGCGCCTTACTCCATTGCCCTTCACGGCAATTATTTAATTGTGCATTAGATGATTAGTGGTTGAGATAAAGAGCAGATTTGTTAAAAGTGGTGGTGTAGTTATGGTGACAGTAGGAGAACAGACGTGAGTGATGAAGGAGGGTTTGGGGTTGCAGTCAGGGTAGTGATAGGGGTTGGGTAGTGGTAGTGATAGGTGTTGGGGTAGTGATAGGGGTTGGGGTATTGATAGGGCTTTGGGAGTGATGGGATAGTGATAGGGTTTGGGATAGTGTACGTATGTACACTGAATCTGTTTCGCATCGTACGTAGCCAATCGTGCTAATCGGAAGGTCCAGGGGAAGGACAACAAACTAAACAGGGGTAGTGATAAGCACGGTTAGATACGTACGGTCGGAAATAAGTTCAACATACATACATAGATTGATAGGGGTAGTGATAGGGGTTAAGGTAGGCCTGGTCGTGGCATTGCGATACACAAATAGATATATATACACAGAGATACATATACACAGAGATACATATACACAGAGATACAGAGATACATATACACAGAGATACAGAGATACATATACACAGAGATACATATACACAGAGATACAGAGATACATATACACAGAGATACATATACACAGAGATACAGAGATACATATACACATAGACACAGAGATACATATACACAGAGATACATATACACAGAGATACATATACACAGGGATACATATACACAGAGATACATATACACAGATATACATATACATAGAGATACAGAGATACATATACACAGAGATACATATACACAAAGATACATATACACAGAGATACAGAGATACATATACACAGAGATACAGAGATACATATACACTGAGATACAGAGATACATATACACAGAGATACAGAGATACATATACACAGAGATACAGAGAGACATATACACAGAGATACATATACACCGAGATACAGAGGTAAATATACACAGAGATACAGAGATACATACACACAGAGATACAGAGGTACAACACTGTGTTTGTCTACAGTATGCGCTATTCAGCAGGCAGCTGTTTTCTTGACGAGCCGTGCGCGGTAACGATGATCATCATGATACGTGACATTCATAAGGCAGCTTTCTACTGAGTGCTCAAGGCACTAGGAATCACAAATAAACATACCATGGGCCTAGGCGGGGGGAATAGAAGACAAATTGAAGGCAATTCTGAGGCCGGAAGGCATGGAGAGAGAGCGAGCGTCGTAGCGGGGCTCCACATGCGGCCAGGGGCGCCGTGGTGGCTAGGAGATGATAACGACCTCGCCTGGTATACAGGAGGTCGTGGGTTCGATTCTGACCCTGATGCCTGCTGCTGCTGCTGTATATTTGCAATTCGCACGTGTCTCCGGGTCCTTTCGGTGTTTTTCCCTTCCACATCTAGAATCAACATCATGCGTTTAGAGTATTTGGCCGCTATGAATGTCCAGGTGATGATGATGAGTTACTTGGCTGAGCGATCATTCGCGATCGCCAGGGTCGCTTTTGAAAAAAGAGCTACACAGCTCCTTTGGGGTCAGCCTTACCTGGTTAAATACTAAATCGTACAATAGGCGCTCCGCGGCCGGGGAGCGGCGGCGAAGTTGTGGTTGTCATAACGGGCGCACCTCCTTTTGTGATCCGCCAACGCCACGGTCTGAGTGGCTGGAATTGATCCTCATGGCGGTACCCCGGGCTACCAAATATTTTTCTGGGACAATATTTTTTCCATGATCGTCTTCTCTTTGCTTCTGAAGACGATCGCTTGTGTTGTGATGGAAACGTCGTGATTTTAGTTTTTTTATCTTTATTTTTTATAATTTTATTTTTTATTACCGAAAGAACCAAGAATGAGTCTACATTAAAGACTGTCAGTACACTCACTCAGGTTAAGAACCAGGCTACAGTCTACATTATAGACTGCCAGTACGCTCACAAAGCTTAAAAATCAGGCTATAGTCTACATTATAGACTGCTAGTACACTCATTCAGATTAAGAACCAGGCTACAGTCTACATGAATGTATTTTTTTATATTATTTTTTATTTAATTTGTATTATTTTTATTCATTTTATTTTCATTTTTATAGCTACGTGACTTTACCGAAAGAACCAAAGAATAAGCAAATAAACCCCCAGAAAATAGAAGGGAATATTTAAAATAGACAGGTGGAGGTGATGGGTCTAGCAAGTCCAAAAGCGGTTCGAGTGTTTGCTTGCTTAAACAAATGCCGCTTGCTAACAGTGGTCTGGAAAGTGAATCGTCTGATGGACAAAAAGGATATTTGTATTCCAGAATCAGAATATGTATGTAGACCGGAGGATGAATCCGATGGGCTCTGGCAGCTCTTGTTCGTTGTTGTCAAGTAGGGGTGGCTGGTTCAGCAAGTTACCACAACAACAAACGATAGAGAAAAGGTAAGCCAGTCACGAAGAGTGAATACATAAACTGCAGTGTGTACGAATACAAATTGCATATTTACATAAATTGCTGCCGATGTATCAACACCAAATGCAAGCTTGGGGAAAGGCAACAAAACAACAAACGAAACTAGTCCCAGACCATGCCAAGTGAACAACAACAACAACAGACAACACCAGCAGCAGCAGCAGCCTCAATAAAATGGCACGTTACAGTCGAACCGTCAATACGCGGCGGTCACTTCTGCGTGGAGACAGAACGCAGGAGCGCTGCCCCCCTCGCATCCGCTTCAAACCGAGAACTCGGCGACCGCGAGAGCTCTGCTCCGTGCCAAGCCAACGGGGGGGGGCAGGCGGGGGGGGGGCGACACCACCCCATACTGGACATCTGTGTCAAAAAGAGCTGCCTAGTTCATCGGATTCCTCCAGTCTAGATACAGATTCTGATCTTGATTGTGAGGTGCCACAAGCCCCCCCCACCCGCCCGCCCGCTCGCCCTCGCTCCGCTCGCGTGGCCGCCCGTTGAGGACGGCAGCTGAAGAGGCGCAAGCCCCGGGGAGCACTCGGCGCGAGAATACAAAATGGGAAACGCAGAGATTCAGCTAATTGGCGCGCGCGTGTGTGTGCGTGCGCGTATGTGTGTGCGCGTGTGTGCGTGCGCGTGTGTGTGTGTGCATGCGCGTGTGTGTGTGTGCGTGCGCGTGTGTGTGTGTGTGCGTGTGTGTGTGCGTGCGCGTGTGTGTGCGTGTGCGTGCGCGGTGCCGGACGGGCAACTCTGTCATGGACAGTGCTGTGGGGGGAGGTCCAATTTCGATTGGCTCTTCCCCTCATGGCATCTGGGTCCACCACAGGGGCTAAACGGGGGCTCTGGACGGGTGCGAGGGGCTGGTAACCCCTCCACCTTCAATTAATTACCACTAAACTACGACGGAAAAATATATCTAATAAGCTTGTGCCGGAGGCCCCGGGGGGCCAGGCGTCTATGACGTCTCCTGGCCAAACCCCAATTGGCGGAGCCAGGAGATTGAATATCTACCCTCGGGGCTCCTTCAGAAACAACGAACAACGAAAAACCACTGCGGGTGGCCACGTGGAATGTTCGAACGCTCAATGCGGAGGAGAGGCTGCCACTCCTCTGTCGGGAGCTGGACCGGTACTGCCTGGATTTATGTGGGATTCAGGAGGTCCGGTGGACCGGTTCTGGCTCCTGCCACTATGAGGGGTGGAAAGTCCTCTACTCGGGGCAGCAGACTGCGAAACAACAGGGTGTGGCTCTTCTTTTGAACAAAAGAATGAAGGGGGCGTGGGAGCGTGGTGGTGAGGTGTGGGAAGTTGTAAGCCCCAGGCTACTTTGGGCTCGCCTTCCCATCAACCGGAGGCGAGGAATGGTGGTCGTGGTTACTTATGCCCCCACCGAAGACGAACATCTGTGGAGGGATGCAGGCAAAGCCGATGAG